TGCATTCAAATGGCTGTCGATGTTGCTAACTTCGACATAATCTCTCATGCTGAAACATCGAAGGAGGCATGGGATATTCTAGTAAAGTATTTCGAAGGAGGTGAGAAAGTCAAGGTTATCAAATTACAAACCTTGCATCGACAATATGAGTTGTTGTCGATGGGAGAAGATGAAAAAGTTGCAAAATATATGTCGAAGATTCAGAAACCCGTCCATCTCATGAAGGGTTATAGTGAAACCGTTACTGATAAGATGATAGTTGAGAAGGTAATGAGAATGTTGACCTCTCACTTTGATCACGTTATCGTAGCTATTCAAGAATCAAACAATCTTGAAACCACTAAAGTGGAAGATTTGGTTGGTTCTTTGGAGGCGCATGAGATGAGGATTGTCGAAAGGAAAGGAGTTCAGGACTCGATATAGGCACTGCAAGCTCAATCATGGAAAAAAGATGGTGGTTCCAACAAATTCAAAGGCAAGTTCGACAAGACTCATGGCAAGAAGTCTTGGTCGAATTCCCATAAGAATAAGGTCGAAGATAGATCTTCTGAATCCTCGAAAAGGGGAGGAGGAAACTATTGAAAGGACAAAGAAGATAAGAAAGGTATGCAGTGTTATAACTGTGAAAAGTGGGAACACTTGGGCAAGAATTGTTGGTACAGAAAAGACAAGGGAACGAAAGGCAAGGACGAAGGAGCGAACCTTACACGCCAAGATTCAGATGATTCTGAAGGTGGTATGATGGTTATGGCTACAGTTGTAGATAACCTTGTTGAGTCTAAAAATCTGGTTTCTCGACTTAGGTTGCTCGAACCACATGACTGGTCGAAAGGAGTGGTTGGCAGATTTTGACGAGTCGAAGAAGAGAAAGGTAAAACTTGCTGATAATAGTTCGTTGTAAGCAGAAGGTACTGGAAACATAGTCTTTCAAATGAGTAATGGAGGGAAAGATATGATCAAAGATGTGCTCTATTTACCTAGAATGAAATGTAACTTGTTAAGTGTTGGACAACTAGTTGAAAAAGGTTTCTCAGTTGTCATGAAAGATGGAGTTTTGAAATTGTTCGACACTAAGAACAATTTGGTTTTAAAATCTCCATTGTCGAAGAACATGACATTTAAGACTATGATCAGTTCGACAGAAGTTCAATGTTTGAAAATTATTGTTGACCACAAGGATAGTTGGTTGTGGCATTTGAGGTTTGGACATTTGAATTTTCGATCACTTAATCAACTGATTACTCAAGATATGGTTACTGGTATTCCAAGTCTTGAGATGCCTGAAAAACTTTGTGAAGGTTGTTTAGTGGGAAAGCAATCCATAAATTCTTTCGTTTCGACTATGTCAATGAGATCATCTTGCATTCTCGAAGTGGTGAATTCAGATGTATGTGGTCCATTTGAAGAACATACAATTGGTGGAAATAGATATTTTATTTCCTTTGTCGATGATTTTAGTCGAAAGATGTGGATCTATCAAACGAAAGGTCAAAGTATTCGAAATCTTTAAGAGATTCAAGATACTTGTCGAAAAATAGAGTGAGAAGAAGATCAAAGTTCTACAAACAGATGGAGGTGGCGAATACAAATCCAAGATGTTTGAAGATTTTTATGCAGAACATGGTGTTGATCATGAGGTAACTGCTCTTTACACACCTCAACATAATGGAATTTCTGAAATAAGAAATAGAACCATATTAGATATGGCAAGATGCATGCTGAAGCAAAAGAATTTGCCAAAATCTTTATGGGGAGAAGTTGTTTCGATTGCAGTTTATATTTTGAATAGGTATCCTACTAAGATATTGAAGAACAAGGTTCCTGAAGAAGTATGGAGTGGCAAACGACTATCAGTAAGTCACTTGAAGGTGTTTGGCTCTATGTGTTACAAGCATGTTCCTGATGCAAGGAGAAGGAATCTTGATGACAAGATTGAACCTATGATTCTGGTAGGATATCATAAAACTAGTGCATACAAACTATTCAATCCAGTTAATGAAAAGATTGTGTTGAGTCGAGATATTGTGATTAATGAAAATTCTGCCTGGGATTGGAATTCTAGCAATTCAATTAACAAATCATTAATGAACTTTGATTTCGACGAAGAAACTAATGAAGTAGAGGTCGAAGGAATTATTGAGAATCCAATCGAAGTCAAAGAAGAAGCGGTTGCTGACACTCCCGTCACAGTCGAAGTCGAAGAGGTTATGGCTGAAACAAGCCAAAGACCTCAAAGAAATAAAGTTCTTCCAACAAGACTTAATGATTATGAAGTGATGGGTGATGATGAAATCACACCAGATGGAGAATTAGTTCATTTTGCTTTACTTGCAGGTGCTGAACCAATCAACTATAGTGAAGCTTTAAAGGTTAACAAGTGGAAGTTAGTTATGGTCGAAGAGTTACAGGCAATCGAAAGAAACAACACATAGGAGTTAGTCTAATTGCCAACACATACAAAAGATATCGAAGTAAAGTGGGTGTTCAAGTTGAAACACAATGTAGATGGGTCAATGGCAAGACATAAAGCAATATTAGTAGCTCGAGGTTTTCTTCAAAGAGCAGGACTTGACTACTATGAAGTATTTCCTCCAGTAGCAAGATTAGAGACTGTTCAACTAGTAGTAGCATTGGCATGCAACCAAGTTTATGTCACACAACCTCCTGGGTTTGTGATTCAGAAGGAAGCGAGTAAAGTATATAGATTTCACAAAGCGCTCTATGGCCTCAAGCAGGAACCTAGGGCATGGAACAAGAAGATTGACTCATACTTAGTCGAATTAGGATTTGTCAAATGAAAATCAGAGTATGGTGTCTATGTTCAGGTTGTAGCACAAGATATACCAATCATCTGCTTGTATGCTGATGACTTGCTAGTAACTGGAAATAGTTTGGAGAACTTGTAAAAGTTCAAAGAGCTGATGACGAAGGAATTTGAAATGTCGGATCTAGGAAAATTGTCTTATTTTCTAGGCATTGAATTTCAAATGTCGAAGCAAGGTATGGTGCTACATCAAATAAAGTATGTCAAAGAAATACTCAAGAGATTCAGAATGGATGATTCAAATCCTGCATCCTCACCTGTCGAACCAAATGTGAATTTGGAGAAGAATGGAGAGGAAGACAAAGTCGATGCAACTTTGTTCAAGCAAATTGTGGGATCTCTGAGGTATGTGTGTAATAGTCGACCTGATATAGGTTTCACAGTAGGATTAGTAAGCAGATATATGGGTGAACCAAGAGTGTCACATATGAAGGCTACAAGAAGAATCCTTCGATATTTGAAGGGTTCAATAAATTGTGGAATACTATTTCGACGAGATTCTGAAGGCACAGAAGCAATAGTTAATTGTTTTTCAGATGCTGATTGGTGTGGAGATAAGGAAGATCGAAGAAGCACAACTGGATATTTCTTTCAAGTAATTGGTGCCCCAATCTCACGGTGTTCAAAGAAGCAACCTGTGGTGGCATTGTCATCGTGTGAAGCTGAATATATAGCAGGATCCTATGCTTCATGTCAAGCAATTTGGATCAGATCTATACTTGAAGAAATGACTTTCGAAGTGAAGAAACCTCTAGTATTGCAAATCGACAACAAGTCAGCCATAAATCTGGCGAAGAATCCAGTTCTGCATGGAAGAAATAAACATATTGAAGCAAGGTTTCACTTCTTGAGGGAAAAAGTAAATCAAGGTGAACTTGAAGTTAGGCATTGCTCAAGTGAAGCACAGTTGGCCGACATTTTCACCAAAGGATTGAAGATCGACAAATTCTTGAATTTGAGAAAGAAATTAGGAATAGTTCAGATTGACTATTTTTGAGGATGTTCGCCAACTTAATTATGGGGGTGTGTTGAAATATTAAATTAGATTAGATTAGATTTGATTAAATTTAATATTTAATATAATCCAAGTTGTGTTAGCCCAAGCCCAATTAGGGTTGTATATAAATAGTCATAGTGTGTATCATTATTTGTACACTTGAATAATACAAATCCTTATTTCCTTTATTATTCTCTCTTTCTCTCCTCACTAAGAGTGCCTCATGCACTAACAGATTATACAAAGGAAAGGTATTAGCATCCAATACATTTGCGCTACTCCGCAAGAACCTTTTGAAATATCTTTTTTTTTGTTTAAAATTGTTTGTTTAGTTAAAAATGGTTTGTTTGGTTAAAATAGGTGTGAGTGAGATTTTGAAGATACAACGACCTAGTGTCGAAGTCTTGATTTAAAAGGTGCGAGTTTTAAAATTGAGTTCTTTTTTAGAAAAATTAACTTAAGATTAACAAGATAGTAAAACAAAAATGAATGAAGGGATTCGCATAATCGTATAAGATGTATTTGATGATATGAAGTCAACAAAGTCAAAACATTTCCCTTGAAAGTTAAACGGACGAAAGATATAAAGATTAAATGATCAATACAAAGTTAATTAGAATTGAATAAATAACAAAAATTAAATTACACTAGCATGTATTTAAATAAATAACACATATTAAATAGAAGACTAATTTATACTAGCATGAATAATTAAATAAATAGAAAAAATTAAATAAAAGATTAGTTTATAAGCATATTTTTTATTTTTTTATAATGGCATGAAATAATTATATGTATAAAATAAACTAAAACTAATATAATTGGGAAATAAGGTTAAATGAACTAAAAACAAAATAAAAATGCTCTAGCATGGAGTTGAACTCGCGTCCCTTAGGTTTTTAGTGGTATACTTTGCCAACTGAACTATGCTATTTATCTATTATTACTATGTTTTAATTAAAACAAAAGGTGAATATTGATAATGATTGGGCCAACAGGCCCATTGGGGCTGATCCAGTTTGAAAGAGGACAAGGAACATTTTTGGGAACCCTAAAAGCAAGAAGCGCCACGGCTAGGAGTATTGGGAAGGGAAATGCAGATTAAATTATTATTACTGGTAAATTCTTATGCTTATCGTGAAACAAAACTAAAATACTCTCTCTCTGAGTCACCTTCATTCATAAACACATCACTCTTCCTCTCCACAAATTCCTCTCTGGTTTCAAATATTTTACAAAAGCTTCAGCTTGTTGGCTTGATTCCTTTGAGATATGAACGGTTCCAACAACGTAGACGTCACAAAAACCACCCTTTGTCGTAGACTCACACGAAAGCACGATGACATTTTCGATAGCTCTTCTGGTAGCTCCACTCGACGATGCTTCCATTCCCTCATTTCCGTTTCCGGTGACTACTCTCCTCCGCAGTTGTCAATAGTTTTATTAGCACAAATATGCAAAAAACCTAGCTTATGGGTTCTGTTTCAAATCATCAAAAGATGGAATCTCTGTGTACTTCAGATATCCCTTACCAGATTACATTCGGTTTGCAATATCTTTGAGCTTCCTTGAAAGCTTCATCGCTCCATGAACTGGTAACAATATAATCGACAACATCATCATTTTTGCCTATGTTTAACGGCACGACGATGAATGGGGTGGTGGCGGCACATTTGATGAAGATGGGTTTAAAGGTTGGTGGGTTGCAGACTAACAGATGAAGGGTGGAGACAAAAGAATGTATAGGGGGTAAAAGTGGCAGTTGGATTGGTGATAAAATGGTATTGTGAGGCAAATAATGTTTTGGAGCAGAAAGGGCCGTAACGGGTGATGACAGAAAACGAAAGGGAGATGGAGATTGGTGAGGATGTTGTGTTGTATTCAGCTGCTCGCTTAGCTCCCAATCATAGTCGTTCACAACGACGAGAACTCCAGGTCTCATAGTATCTCCTTTTATGAACATTTCGGGTCTCTCCTTAATTAAGTTGGGTTGCACCCAAGAAAGCAATTCTCTCATGGTTAACTTGTCTTGTCCATTTTTTGGTTCAAATTCAACATTGACATGGTGAAACTTCTTGGAGTCACAGAGAAGCTCCAAACCCCCTCCGAACTCAAGTGTAAGCTGCATGTTAAATAATGGAGTTTAGGGAGTAAATTCGGAGGTTATGGTGTTCATGCACTTGTGATTGCGGAAGAGAGTATGTTGGTGGAAGTGGTACAAAGGATGTATGAAGGATTTAAGCAGAGCTAGTGGAAAGAAGAAGAGGGGTTTTTTGTGAGAGAGCGCAGAGGCAATATGTGTAGAACGAGACTCGATAGTGCTATATGTTGGTTTTGAAAAAAAACTTATGCCTGTGTTAATTCAAGCAGTAAATTATTGGCTGGACAAGTTTCATCCTTCTGAAACAAGTCAGCAGAAATTGGCCATTCCTTTAAAGCAATTTTTGGCAGCAGCATGTTCTGCCTCTTTTCTTGTGTTGAAAAAAGTTGGGATGTGTAAGATTTACAATGAGTGGGTTATTAAAGATTAACGGGAGTTGTTTACAGTATGGTGGAATCGGAATTGGGTATAGAAGCGGGAAGTTAGATGTGTCGGTGGCAGTTGGGTTCATTCAATTCACATTAGAGGTTTATTTGGTTATAGTTTCTGGTTAAAACAGGTTATAATTGGTGTTAATAAGTTTGTTTTAATGAAACAGATTATAACTTATATTAACAGGTTTTAGGTTTGGTGTTGACAGGTTGTAGCATATATATAACATTTGTCCTATTTTTATTATAACAGGTTGCAAAAACCAGTGATCCAAGCATGAAAATTACTATGCAAATAAATCTAGCAAACATGGATGTATATATGAAAAAAAATTATGCAGAAGTAATAGGGAGAAGAAATACCTATCGGAGTCTCTCCGATGGAGCTTCAAAAAAACAGTAAGTTCTACCTTGATGCTCAAACTCCTTTTTACCTCGATTATTTGTTGTGATACTTGAACAAACTTCTCCTCCTTTTTTTTTGTTTTTCCCCTCTTTGAGTTTTTCTTGTCTAATTTTTCTGTCCATGAAGATGGTTTTTATAGTGAAAGAACAAAGCATTTAGGGGAGAAAATAATAGAACATTTGAACTATTTTGACAAACTGTTTTGATGCCTTTTTTATACAATTTTAAGTTGCCATTTTGATGCAATTTCTTGTCTGTTATGATGCAGGGCAACAGGCTGTAGCAGACTGGTCTAGGCTGATTTTTTTTAGCAGTTTTACAACAGTTTTTGGACTGTTACAAACTGCTGTTTTTTGGACTGGTTTATCGCATTTTTATGCAGAATCTGGACTGTTATAGGTTGTTATTTTGGATAGCAAAATACCACAAAAATTTGACTATTATTGTAGGGGGCTGCAACATGATATTGGACATAAAATAATAAAACAAATACAATAGTAATAATAATGATAAATGACTATTTGTTAGTAATACAAAAATAAAAGAATAATAATAATAAAAATAAGATGCAAACAAAATTAATTTATTTTATTTTAATATTAATTCAATTTTAAAAATTGAATTAAAATTAGAATCAAATCAAAATTAATATTGGATTAAAAGAAGGTAAAACTAAAAAGAATAATAAAAATGTAAAATAAAGGAAAAAGATATTAACTATATTTTTGAGATTTTCTCGATTAAAATTTATACTAAAACATAAATCTAAATGAAACCAATAAAACTATAATAATTTTTGATATTTTTTGAATTAAGAATTGCAAAGTTGAAATACTATAATGCTAATTATAAATATTTTGTGATTTTTCTAATAACGTGATAGTAAAAAATGACATGAACTAAAATACATATTTTTTTAGATTTTTTAAATAAGACAAAAATGATAAATAAAAGACGGAAAAAAGTATGATATGCACGATTTGGTAAAGGTTGGACAAGACATGATCAAATTCCATTAAATTCATAAAGCGACTTCTAACGTTTTCATTCTTTCGTGGCTTTTCAAACATAAACAGCTCTTGAATTGTAAAGAAAAGTTATAGATGTTGTCAAGGAGAATCATATCTAAAAGAACCACTAAAAAATGTCGAAATTTGAAGAAATTATGAATTTTTGAAATCTGACTCGAGAAAATGGCAAAAATAGGTCGAATCTCCTGTGAACACTTGCTATGTAATAATGCAGATGGGAGGTGGGATCTTAAGTCAAAAATTGGGGTATTACAGTTGCCCCTATTTAAGTTTCTTTTATCCGGAGATATGAAGATTGAAATCTTTGTTTCGACGAGATTGAAGGAACTTAAATACATAATACGCAATTTTTGGCCTTAAGATACCACAATGGTGTTCATGATATGATATGAATGCAATATCTGAATTTTAGGGAGAATGATGTCGCATGAGACAAACTAATACTGGAGAAACCAAACACATGATAAAGTAATCCACAAGGGAGGAGATTATGACTCTATTGGATAAGCAAATCCATAGACTTTAAATGAGAGACTCTTATTGGGGAATAACTTCGAGAGAAAACAATTTTCTGACTCTAATAAAGAAAACGCCTTGCATAGGCTACGAAAAGATAGATGATTATTGAATCAAGATGGTGATGAGTTTACAACTCAGGGTCAAAGGTAAACAAAAAGATACACCAACTCTTACTGATAGTGAACTATCAATTTTTACTGAAGGTAGAGATTTCATAACAAACTTCTCTGCGGGACTTTTCGGGAGAGATACCATTTGCTGCTGAAATAACATATGGTTGTGGATACACAAGTTGCTCAAATAAAGAGGCCGCCACTTGCTGTCTTCAAAAGATATTAATAAACATACAAGCTGCTCATAAAGAGACTGTCACTTGCTGTCTTTAAAGGATATTTATAAACACACAAGCTGCTCAAATAAAGAGGCCGCCACTTGTTGTATTCAAAGGATATTAATAGTACATAAGCTGCTCATGAAGAGTACGCCACTTGCTACTTCAAAGGATATCAATAACACGCAAGCTGCTCGTGAAGAGACCACCACTTGTTGTCTTCTAAATATATCTATGACACACAAGCTGCTCATGAAGTGACTGCCACTTGTTGTCTTCCAAAGATATCTATAACACACAAGCTGCTCATGAGGAGACCACCAATTGTTGTTTTCCAAAGATATCTATAACACACAAGTTGCTCATGAAGAGACCGCCACTTGCTGTCTTCTAAAGATATCTATAACACACAAGTTGCTCATGAAGATATTGTCGCTTGCTGTCTTCCAAAGATATATATAACACACAAGCTGCTCATGAAGAGACTGCCACTTGTTGTTTTCCAAAGATATATATAACACACAAGCTGCTCATGAAGAGACCGCCACTTGCTGTCACGTCGATATTCCAGAAGAATGTTGTGATAATACCACTAGGGAATAAAATTCTTCTTCAATGGGGGAACCATGAATAGTTCCTTCCTAAGGAGACCAAGTATTTAAATGCGCAAAATAAATGTGCTATTCATCTAGGTTTCACAACCTAGAGAAAACCATGGGGTAGCCTATGCAAGAGATAAAGCTCAATCCAGGAATAAACCGGAGAGAAAACAATCAAACAAGACTCTACCCAATGAGGAAGCAACTCAATTTGGGATTTATCCTATATAGAGATGGAAAAGGAAGGCTAAAGCAAGATTCTTCCACGAGGATTTGCTCAGTTGGGGAATTAGAAAGGAGGCACATTTTCTGCTTAAGTTGACACTCTATTTGGAAAGAGCAAATACGATGTTTGAATAGACATAACCAAGATATACGAACCCAATAACATCAAAAAATACGAATGTGCATGCATGATGCAAGTGTGGATGGATAAATGAATGTCATGTATGTGCTGACAAAACAGATAGAGGAGATAAACTGAAGATGATAAGACATCACAAAACAGCCAGATACTCGGCTAATCTCAAAGAAATGGGAAAATAGCTGGAGTTAGAACAAAAGGAATCTTCAGAGCGTATCATATTACAAGGATCAAGTCTCTTTGAAGAGGACCATACCCAAATTTCAATCTTCTAACATCAATAAACCAGTGACATGATAACAAAATGTACTTCACTTCGGTTAGGGAGAAAAAATCTTGTTCAACTATAGATAACTGAATCAAAGCTTAACCGAGATTGCTGGGGAGTCACCAAGTTTAATACTCTAATGGGAACACAAGATCACACAACCAACACCTCATGATGATTTTGAAAGAAGAAACCATTACTCATCGTACAATGATGAGTTACTATATTGTTTTTCATTTCAAGTCTTAACCATTCTCGGAGCAACTGTTAATATTCCTTCCAGTATTCACGACACATTTCAAGATAGGAATACTCTATTTAACTTTGTTTCAAATATTGCTATAAAAACTGAAATTTTGCCCGATAAAAACACAAAAAGATAAATGCTCAAATTTCATTAATAAAATGGTAGTCTGCTATTGGCGCGACTCCAAAGGTTTACAAAAATTTGGAAAATAGTACAAGAAAGAAAAGGTTACAAAAACAATGACCACTATTCTCCCTAACAACTTTGGATTCCAAGATGTGTTCAAATTTGCTGTGACTGGTCTGATCAAAATCCTGCTTAAGCCCCCAGAGAAAACCTTCTTAATAACATACGGTCCTTCATAATTCGGAGCCCATTTTCCCCTAGAATCAGGTTGGAAATATAATATCTTGTTGAGCACAAGGTCACCTTCTCTGAATTCGTGTGGCCGAACCTTCTTATTAAATGCCTTCTTCATTCTCTACTGATATAGTTGGTCGTGACACAACACTGTCATTCTCTTTTCTTCAATCAAATTCAATTGATCATATCTACTTTGACACCATTCATCCTCAGAAAACTTAGCTTCCATCAAACTCTCATAGACGGGATCTCGACTTCCACGGGGAGCACTGCTTCCATGCCATATACTAGAGAAAATGGAGTTGCGCCTGTTGAAGTTCGAACTAAAGTATGATACCCATGTAGAGAAAACAGGAGCATCTCACGCCAATCTTTATAAGTTACCACCATCTTCTGGATAATCTTCTTGATATTTTTATTAGCAGCTTCAATAGCCCCATTCATCTTTGGTTTGTAGGGTGAAGAATT